CACCACCACCACCACCATCACCATCACCGCATTATGTACAATAGCCCAATGTTTCCTGAGTTGCCTACAGGGTTGAAAGAGTAATTAGGCATATTTCTGTTTCCAAATCTACTGTTTATGTGTAAGCTTTATTCTCCAAGTCTTTCAAGGACAGGATTTTAAAGTTCAAAGGCCTAGATTTTTGCAACCCAAAGCTTTCTCTTTTTAAAAAAAAAAAAACAAAAAACCTTTTTTCTTATCCCTGCCATGGGAAAATTAGGAGCTCAAAAATTGAGAGTTACCATCTTGGTTGTATGCCTTCTCTTGTGACATCCCTTCCCCAGGGTAGTCAGCCTCAGCTGCCATCTGAAAAAGAAGGACCTGAAATTGCAGGAACTGCTCAGTATGAAAACCATAGCAATAGTTAATGCAGAAATGGAATCATCATGAAGCTCACGAAGCTTCAATTTCAGGGCCTCCCTTTCAAGAGCCCTTTCCAAAACCTTGGGAGGACTCAAGCAATAGATTAGCATGTTTTTATAAAATACACAAAAATCAAGATATAATATTTGAACCACAATTCCTTAAGATCACTGTCTCCTCCCACTCAGACTGTGTTTCCACCACCCTTCTATTTGTGTTGGGTGGTGGTGTGCCTGTTGGGGGCTTTAGCCAACGAAAAGTTGAGCTGGGTCGACACAGTAACATCCTCAGGCTGGAGTTGGGCAGTGCATACCCTCTACTTTCAAAGGCCCCTCTCTTCTCCTCCTCCAGCTGCAATTCTACCCCAAGGGCAAGTAGTCTGCATAGCCAAAGGGAGCTTCACTTTCTTCTAGGCCACTCCCCAGGTGTGGCAGCCATGGGAATCTGCGCCTCAGATCTCCCTTCAAGAAGAACATGCTGGTAAGCTGCAAGGGCTGCAGTTAGCTGAGACCTCCAGCCAGAACAGCATCAGGATCTGCCACAGCATCTGAGCCAAGGCCACATTTTCACCAGTTAGCCTTCAGCTAAAGGCCACAGCAGGAATCCTAGTGGCTGGCCATTTCTGCCCGTGGGGTATCTTTCTCGTGGGCTGTCTTTGCACCATAGCTCCCAACTGGATTGGACCGGGTTTCATCAGATGGCATCCCATTCTGAGCCTCTACCTGGTGACTCTGCTACTTCTCCAGTTCCTTTCACAGGTTCAGATGGGCACTGTGGTATGAAGTCTTTTTCTGCCCATTTCTGCTTCAACCTTCTATCATGTTAACAAGGCTTACCTCCTACTCAGTCTGCAGCACTCCTAACTGACTCCATTTCTGCTACCCAGAAGACCTGACCTGTCACCATCAATGCGGGAAGTGGCCTGAGAAAGCAGGCAATAAGAGGGGGCATGGCACTTTGATCAGCTAGCATGAGGGCTCCAACCCAGGTGGTCTGGGATGCACGGAGGGTGCCTAGGATGACACAGCAACCCAATAGCTATAATATCAGTGATGCTGACCTGGGAAATTGCTCTGCTGGTGGGAAGACCCAAGTGGTGGAAGCCCCTGATGACTTTGGTTCCCAAGACCCCTCTGAACCCCCAAAGCCAGCAGAGATGGCCACTTCTATCAAGAGTCAGCCCTTTCCCCACCGTGTAGAGGTATCTCCCCTATATGACAGCAGGGTCCCCCCTCAGGATCTGCCCCCATATCCTTTCCTGGCTGTAAAGCCAATAAGTAGGATTAAGTAGCAGTGTAATCCAGCTGGGGACAGGCTAGGCTTGATAAGGAAGGAAAGCAAGAACCTCCAAAAGTGCTGCAAGAATGAGCTGCCGTAGACCAATGGGTGCTAAAGAGGGTCCAGGCAGGGGGGGTGCTTGATCAGTGTGGGGCTTAAGACCAGGTGTATTAGTTCATTCTCGTACTTCTATAAAGAAATACCTGAGACTGGGTAATTTGTAAAGAAAGGAGGTGTAATTGGCTCACAGTCCTGCAGGCTATAAGGAAGCGCAGCAGCTTCAGCTTGGCTTCTGGGAGGCCCCAGGAAACTTACAATCATGGTGGAAGAAGAAGGGATGCAGGCACACCTTACATGCCAGTGCAGGAGAGAGAGCAAGAGAGGGAGGAGGTGCTACGCACTTTCAGACAACCAGATCTTATGAGAACTCTAGCATGAGAACAGCACTGGGGAGATGGTGCTAACCCTTTCATGAGAACCTGCCCCCATGATCCAAGCACCTCCCATCAGGCCCCTCCTCCAACACTGAGGATTACAATTTGACATGAGATTTGGGTGGGGACACAGATCCAAACCGTAACATCCAGCCCCAGCCCCTCCCAAATCTCATGTCCTTCTCACATTGCAAAATCCAATCATGCCTTCTCAACAGTTCCCCAAAGTCGTAACTCATTCCAACATTAGCTCAAAAGTCCAAAGTCTCATCTGAGACAAGGCTAGTCCCTTCCACCTATGAGCCTGTAAAATTAAAAACAAATAAGTTCACTTCCAACATACAATGGGGGTATAGGAATTGGGTAAATACTCCCGTTATTAAAGGGAGAAATCAGCCAAAAGAAAGAGGCTACAGGCCCCACTCAAGTCCAAAGCCCAGCAGGGCAGCCATTATATGTTAAAGCTCCAAAATGATGTCTCTGATTCCATGTCTCACATCCAGGATGCAGTGCTGCAAGGGGTGGGCTCCCAAAGCCTTGGGCAGCTCCGCCTCTGGGACTTTGCAGGGTTCGGCCCCTGCAGCTGCTCTCATGGGCTGGAGTGGTGCCCTGAAGCAGTAGAGGCACATGGCAGTGTTAATTGCCAGAAGCCAGAAGGTCACACCCATTGTAACAACTGGCAAGGTTGGAGTGGCAGCCAACAGGGCTTGCTTGCAGAGTGAGGGAGAGATGTTGACAGAACACAGCGATGCTAGTGAGGGGCAGCCCATACGTGGACTGCTCTGTGTGTGTGTGTGTGTGTGTGTGTGTGTGTGTGTGTGTGTGTGTATTTATGTGTGTATGTATAAACTGGAGTTAGTTTTTTCAAAAATGTGACTTTTTAGTTTACTCCATGTCATTTTATTTATTTTTGTGTGTGATTTTTTTTAGATGGACTCTCACTACTTTGCCAAGTTGGTTTTGATCTCCTGGGCTCAAACGATTCTCCCACCTCAGCCTCCAGAGTAGCTGGGATTACAGGCGTGTGATACAGCGCCTGCCTGGATCAGTTTCCAGAACGAGAACCACTGACTGAGAATCAGAAATATTTTGCCTTCACGTGGATCGGACAACACACATTTACAGTTTTGCCCCAGGGCTCTTTGACTCACTCACTTGCTTTCTGTCTTACTATAGTCTAGAGAGATCTGGATTGTTTGGGCATCCCACGGAGCATCTTATTGATCCATGAAATTGATGACATCTCTTTTTTTTTTTTGAGACAGAGTTTCTCTCTTATTGCCCAGGCTGGAGTGCAATGGTGAGATCTCAGCTCACTGCAACCGCCTTCTCCCCGGTTCAAGCAATTCTTCTGCCTCAGCCTCCCAAGTCCTGAGTAGCTGGGATTACAGGCATGCACTACCATGCCTGGCTCATTCTGTATTTTTAGTAGAGACGGGTTTTCTCCATGTTGGTCAGGCTGGTCTTGAACTCCTGACCTCAGAAGATCCACCTGCATTGGCCTCCCAAAGTGCTGGGATTACAGGCATGAACCACCACGCCTGGCCTTTGATGACATCTTTCTAATTTGGCAGGATGAGAAGAAGTAGCTGGTCTGCAGACGACATGATAAAGTACATGTGCTCTCAAGGGTGAGGACGAAATTATGAAGATTCAGAGACTGGCGTATCAATAAAGTTTTTAGGGATTAAGTGATCAGAGGCATGCCCAGGCATCCTCTCCAAAGTAAAAGAGAAATTGCTACATTTTGCAACCCCTATTGCAAAGCAGGAGGCACGATGCCTGATAGGCCCCTTGGGTTCTAGAGGCAATACACTCACACTTAGGAAGGCTATTCCAGCCCATCTGGCAAGTGACATGGAAGGCTGCCAGCTCTGTGTGGCCAAGAGCAGAGTGGGGCCTGCAGCAGGTCCAGGCTGTGGTGCAGGCAGCCCTCCCACTTGGGCCATTTGATCTGGCAGTCCCTGTGGGGCTGGAGGTGTCAATTGTGGAAGAGGATGAAGTGTAGAGCTAATGACAAGCCGCCATGGAAGCATGACAACACAGGCTCCTGGGGGCCTGGAGCAAGGCCATGCCATCTGCAGCAGAGAATACATGGTTTTCAAAAAGCAGCTCTTGGTGTTACTGAGCCCTGGTGGGAATGGGAGAGTTGCCCAAGGGATCTAAGTGAAAATGCATCTAGAAATACCCAGCATGAGCTGGGCTCTCATAGAGCCCAGGTACACCTGGGATCAAGCCTGAGCTGGGGGTGGGTGAACACAAGGAGGTTGTATGAGCAGGTGTCCCAGAGCCTGTGTCATCTGCCACAGCTGCACCATCACCCCTCCCTCAGCACACCGCCATGGCCATCCTGTCAGTGGGAGCAGGCGGTGGGGGGCCTCCTATAGCCAGCTGAGGGTGGAGGAAGGGGCCGAATTTAATTTGCAGATAGGTTGGCTGGGTGCTGTGTGTGGAAACTAGCAGACACTGGAAAGCAGCTGCCTTACAGCAACACTCAGGGACGGACCCCTAATGACAGTGGCCAGGGGAAACCCTTCCGATTGGGGGGATTCAAGCTTTGTCCCTGGTCATGCACATTGTGTGAAAGGAATCTTTGCCAAAGGTGAAAAAGTCTGAACTCATGGCAGTGACAAGTGACCTGGCAGACTGGTCAGGGGCCAGCCTAGAAGAATGAATGATCAGAGACAAGGAGGTCTAGGAGAGAGGAATGTTCATGGCTATACGGAAATGGACATAAAGAATGGCGATCTTTGCATTATATATCAACCACCTGAAAGCATTCATCACAAAAGGGTCACTAAATAGCCAAGTAGGCAAAACAGCTCAGCCACGGGATGTCAGCTAGCATATGCCATGAGCTATGAACTGGCAGAAGCAGAGGTGACATATGGGCCCAGCAGCATGAACTCCCACTTAACAAAGCCAATCTGGCTATCGTGGACCAGAGAAGTCATGGAGGCGTGTGGCTCAGATCTCCCTTCCAGAAGGAACTTGCTGATCAGCTGCAAGGAGAGGAGTTAGCTGGCAGCATCCAGCTGAAGCCCCTTCACAATTCACTACAGCCCCTCCCAGGTCGCCCGGCCAGCAGTGAGCAGGCTGGGAGCTTTCTATGCCCAGTACAGGACTCCTGATGGGCAGTCTGCACCAGAACTGCCCATTGGGCTGCCCACACTGGAAACGATCTGCAGGACAGTGTGGGGCTCTCCCCGTCCACTTTTGCCCTGAGCACATTTCAGCTCAACATTGTCATCCGAAGCCTTCCCCAACCAATCCCCCTCCATCGCTTTTTACCTTTCGAAGATGTCTCTCTTCAGGAAACCTCTTGCATCCCCAATTCCATTCCTGGATCTGCTTATCAGAAGCCCTGGATTGATGCCCTGGCCCCAGAGAGCCGGGATTCCTTGCCAACATAACTCATGCTACCAGGGCCTGTCAGGATCTCTGCCCATGTCTATAGGGTCCAGCTCAATAGGGTTCTGTGAACCCCTCCCGGCTGGTGCGGAGACGAAAAATTGTAGAAATAAAAGACACAGACACGGAGATAGAGAAAAGGGATTGAGCCCAGGGGTCCACTGCTACCCAAATTCCGGAGACCAGCAGTGGCCCTGAATGCCGGGACGCTCTCACTTTTATTGAGTTGCAAATCTGGGGACAGGGTAGGTAGGGCGTGGTCTTGGTGGTCGGTGACTGGGGGCAGGGTAGATAGGGCGTGGCAATGATAGGGTCACGTACATCACGTGTCATTCAGGTAGGGGCTCAGGAATTGCTGGCACCTGAAGTGAGTAAGGAGCATAATGCATGAGCACCTTTTCCATACTTATCAAGAAAGAACTAAAACATGAAGATTTTTATTACTATTACTGATGATCTTTTCTAAGAAAAAAGGAACCCGGTAGAGAAGCAGAACACAAGAGTAGACATGGAACGTGACCACTGAAGCACAGCATCGCATAGAGACAGTTCAGCCCCCGGATGTCTGCAGGTCTACCTGACAGCCGTCAGGCCTTACCACAAGAGCTTGGAGAAGCGGAGTTTTCTCCAAACTTCCCCACGAAGGAGATTTCTCAGCCATTTTGGACGTCTCCTTCCCTGGCTGGCGAAACAGCGGGCGCTTTCACAGCGCTGGCGCTACCACACAGCGAGGCGCCCTCCAGCAGCCCTTACGTGGGCGTGACAGAGGGCTTAGAGCATCTTGCCTTAATGTCATTCATTTCACAATGTCACCCCAGGTTCACACTTCTGACCTGAGAGGCATTAGTAAAAGAACCAAGATCACCTATGAATAACTAAGATTACATAGGAATAACTAATAACTACTACAATTATATTTCTAGTTACTTTCTTCTTCATTATTTATATGGAAATAGGCTGAGGCTTTTTGCTCCTGCCTTGGCACTTATGGGATCTCCCCCCTACACATGTCCTCCCAAAGGTCGGCTCACACCCTGGTGTGCCTCCCCAGGCCTAAGGGGCTGCCAGAAATGGCTGTGTACACGGGAATGATTTATCTAAGCCATGAGACTGGGCTGTGCACACACGTGCCAGAGCCCACCGGACGCAAAGTGCTTCCTCCTGGAGAAGGAGAACCTGCAGCCAGTCAGGGGACAGGGCCAGCTTCCCCCACACATCACATTCCCAATGGAACTCAGGATTCTGAGAATTCTAAATTTGAATCTGGCCTTTCAAACTGTCAGGGTAGAAGGACGGGACACAATGTATTTAACGGTTTGTTAGCATGATCAATAACTTTCAGGAATTTATTTTAAATATACAGAGAGAGGACCTCCATTTCTAGTCTTGTCCTGGGCTATGCAATTGTTAGGAGGAGGCCTGGCCTGGAGATTCATTTTATTTGGGTAAATGGGATATACTGACGCATTTCAGAATCACCTCCATTAAGTTGTTGCTGGCTGTCCTGGAGGAGGAGTAGATTCTAGAAATCCTCCTGAGGCCCATGGTGCCCACCCAACAGGCATCATGACAGAAAATGCAGTGCTCAAAGTCACACTGACACAAATGCATTCCGGCTGCAAAAGGATGGGTTTGTGGGGATGAAGCAAGGCTGGGCAAGGTTGAAGAAAATGCTTCTAATCATGAATGTGTCATTGCAATTGCAGGCAGAGAATTTGTCATTGATACCCAGTTGAAACTATCAGTAATAAAAAACAAATTTGGACCAACTGTACTAAGGAAAAGACTGAATTAACTTTATAATCTCTTGGTAGAAAATACTATCACCAAACCATTGTCATAGGAAGAAGCCTCAAAATGTATGCAGCCAAAAAAATGTACGAAAAAGTATTAGAAGCAAAGAAGACAATTAATAAAATGTAGCACATTATTCTTCTAGACTGTGTGATATTTGCAGTATTTGCTCAGTTTTTCTTTTTTCTTTTTTTGAGACAGGATCTCATCTGTGGCTCAGGCCGGAGTACAGTGGCGGGATCACAGGTCACGGCAGCCCCAGCCTCTCAAACTCAGGTGATCCTCCCACCTCAGCTTCCTGAGTAGCTGGGACTACCGGCATGTGCCACCACGCCTGGCTAAATTTTGCATTTTTTGTAGAGAGGGAGTTTCACCATGTTGCCCAGGCTGGTCTGGAACTCCCGGACTCAAGTGATCTGCCCGTCTGCACCTCCTAAAGTGTTGGGATTACAGGCATGAGCCACTGTGCCCCGCTCAGTTATTCCTTCTAATTGTAATTTGTTGTGTTTTTTTCTCCTAAGTAAATATTCCCTTTTATATTTAACGTTGTGTTTGTAAATGTGCATTCTTCTTTCTTAAAAAGGCCCCTCCACACTGAATAAGCTTCAGGACCCCACGAGACCCAGATCCACTCCTGAATGAATATTATTACTACTAGTCGAAGTATTATTTCATCACATCTGTGAGGTAGAGAGAATTGCCTGTTTTACAGAAAAGTAAAGGCCCGGAGACGAAGTTGCTTACTCATTCTGACTCTGAATGCTTTTCCCGCTAGATTCTGGAAACTTCAGGCTTCTTGGAGCTCAGCCTGTTCGTTGATCCTCCTGCTGCTTCTACCACCCAGATCCCAGCAGAGACAGCCAGAGGGAGACTAAATAGGAAGAAGCCTCTCTGAATAATCTGAGAAGGCTCCACAGTGTCCCGCTCTTCCGCAGCCCGCGGTCAGGGAGAAGGGGTGGGGGTGGGAGTGGCCGCACAGAAACCAGGAACCAAGTGGCCCAAACAACTAGCTTTTGCAGGAGGGCAGAACAGGCAGTTAGGGGCTCGGGATCCCAGGCCAGGACTCTTGGACCTCAGTTAACGGCTGGTGTGGCTGAAACCTGACGTCACCAGCAGAGACAAGGAGGAGAGTAGGGAGGGATTACATATCTGTGGTTCTCATTTCCTGAACTAGTCCAGCCCTGCATGAGAGGTCTGCTGTGCAGAGCCAGAGTCTAATCCAAGTTCAGGAAGGCCACTAAGGGCACCTGACTTATCACTTCTTTAGCCATGGGCCATGAACATTCTTGTGCTAATCGAGGCTATTTACAGCCCCAAAAGCATTGCCTCTTAGAGCAGAAGAACCCCAAGATCACTGAAAGAACCCCTGAAAGATTCCTGAAAGTTCTTCCTCTTAGAGCAGAAGAACCCCAAGATCACTGAAAGATTACTGAATCCAGGGATTCTTAGGTCCACCCTGATGAAACAGCGAATCAATGAATGATACTTCCAAAACTAAATGTATACAATTTAAACTATCATTTTGGCCAAGATATAAATTTTGTTTTTGTTAAAATGTCTTTTCTTTGGTGAAATGATAGAAATAATGATGATGATATTTGCTAATATTGATTGAGTGTTGCCATGTTCTGGGCATTGTGTTAAAGCACTGCACAGTATCTCAATCACCACAGGAACCTTAAGAGAAAGACACAATTTTGTTTTTGTTTTTTTGAGACAGAGTCTTACTCTGTCACCCAGGCTGGAGTACAGTGGTGGGATCTCGGCTCACGGCAACCTCTGCCTCCTGGGTTCAAGTGATTCTCCTGCCTCAGCTCCCAAGTAGCTGGGACTATAGGTGCATGCTGCCACACCCAGCTAATTTTTGTATTCTTTTTTTTTTCTTAGACAGAGTCTTGCTCTGTCGCCCATGCTGAAGTGCAGTGGTAGGATCACGGTTCACTGCAACCTCTGCCTCCCAGGTTCAAGTGATTCTCCTGCCTCAGTCTCCCAAGTAGCTGGGATTACAGGCACCCACTGCCACGCCTGGCTTTTTTTTTTTTTTTTTTTGGTAGAGATAGGGTTTTGCCATGTTGGCCAGGCTGGTCTCAAACTCCTGACCTCGTGATCTTCCTGCCTTGGCCTCCCAAAGTGCTGGGATTACAGGTGTGAGCCATCACACCCAGCCCAATTAGTAACCCAATTTTTCTTCCAAAGAAAGTAAGACTAGGAGATCAAATTGGTATAAGTCATACAGCAGCATGTCACAGAGTTAGGGCCTGAACTTGTCCAGTCTAATTTCCTTGTGCCTGCTCTTAACTGTCACATCATCCTGCCTCTGTAGATTAAATGCAGTTTCCAATTCTGACATCCTGATCTCCCCAAATAAAAGTGTGGTGGCCAGGCATTGCAGCTCACACCTGTTAACCCAGCATTTGGGGAGATTGAGGCAGGCAGATGGCTTGAACTCAGGGGTTCGAGACCAGCCTGGGCAAGAGGCTGCAAAACCCTGCCTCTACAAAAATTACGAAAATTATCCGGGCATGGAGGCATGTGCCTGTAGTTAGGAGGCTGAGGTGGGAGGATGGCTTGAACCTTGGACGTGGAGGCTGCAGTGAGCCAAGAACGCACCACTGCACTCCAGCCTAAGTGACAGAGCAAGACTCTGTCTCAAAAAAAAAATAGAAATTAAAAAAAGTGTGGCAACCCTCATTGGAACTTTGTGTTTTGTTTAAAGAACTTATCCTGGCCTAGAAGTCTGGAGGGCTGAGCGCCATTGGTGTAACTTGGGTTCATCCGACACTTGCCTGGGGAGAGGTACTTGAGTTACCCAATGTCATCCAGCAAGTTGGAAGCAAAATTAGACAAAGAAAAGACCTAGCCGAAGAGATCTGCAGCCTCTGTGGGACATGAAAATTTGGGAATTTCCTTTGGTTTGGACAATGGCTGACTGCAGGAAAGGCAACTTCTAGAAATAAATTCAGAAAACAATTCTTCCAACCTATGTTTCCCCAGGGACATCCCGGCTTCCACAATGTGCCTCTGTGCAGCTCCAGGAATGCCTGTGCATTCCTCAGCCGAGTGGGAATTTCCAGTGCCAGTTCCTGGAGGCGCATTCTCACCTCTTCCTGCTGTACCGCCTCCCACTCAGGAACTTCTCTCCCGTTGGCTGTCTCCATGGTGAAGCTGAAGGAAAGAGAGACTTTAGATGGTTCCCAGGGCAACAACAAAGGAGCTGTGGTTTCCTTGGTGACACCAGGAAGGTAGAGGCAGCAGGTCTCGGAGGATCTGTTCCCCACCCAGATCCCCTGCCCAGGTCACATCCTGGGCTGCCTGGATTAAAATCGTGCATGACAATAATAGCAAAACCTTCCAGGTGATAGACACTCTCCGGGCCAGCTCTGTTCGAGCTCTGGGTCTAGGCACACTCAGTTGGGGCATGCCATTTCACCCTGCAGGCTCTGTTGCCTCATCTGTAAAATGGGGCTAATCATAGGATCCACCTGTGAGGGTTATGAGAAAAGTAAATGTAAAAGTGCTTAGCTTGAGGTGAGAGAGAGTCAATTTGAACTGTGATGATTACATGGCAACTATTCCTGTTACAGACTAATAAACCGTGTTAGTGTAATGCAGAGAGGGAGGCAAGGCAGGTTAATGAGGCCATCCTGGAGATGAGGAAGCTGGAGGTCAGGGTCGGCAAGTGGGTCTGCCTGAGTCCCACCATCATCAAGAGCTGGTGCTAAGGTGAGAAGCCAGGCACGGACTCAGCATTCAGTGCTCTTTGCACCACACACCCACGGACCCCTTGAATGGTAGACACCTGGCCACCAGTTGGGCCTGCTTTTGTTTCCTTGCCTCAATCAGAGACCCTGAAAGCAGAGTATCAGCCCCTCCTCCTACCCCACGTCACTTGGTTTGCACCATAAGCCTGGGCCAAGGCCACACAAGCATCTAGATGATTTCCAAAGCAATTAAGAAGCACGAGAAGGGAAGACTGTGCGGATTTAGTGAAGTCTCCACATCCCATAAATTACTGGGAATTGGTCTACACTGAAACCTGGGCTTCGGGTGACTGACAGAATGCTTCACATTTCAGTGAATGGTTATTGCACCATGTAGCCTTTCACAGCATTCCTCAATTATGCATTTTATGCATCATTAAAGTTTCACTTGTGTTATCTAGTCATTATTTAGAAGGAGATATATCATCATTCTGGGAAGACTACTTGCTTTAGAATTAACCTGATGTATGATCAAATTCTAAATTCCACCCACTTCATTCTAGCAATGTGACTCTGGATGAATTCATTAACCTCTGTGAGCATCCGTTTTCCTGATCTATAAGGTGGGCACAGAATGCTGTCTCCTGACAGATTCTTTGTGAAGCTGAGACCTGATGTATATGTAACATCTGGTACATTAGAAGTCATTCAACACGTGGTGACCTTTCATATTAAACACAGACGGGCTCATCACAGTTTTTGTTAGTCTCCCATGGCGGAACCTGGCTGCACAGGGTTCTCTGACAAGGTGAGCTCAGGAAAGTGTTGCTGAAGTCAGTGCGAGATCTTGCTCGCCTCACACACAGGTAATTATTTTAGTCTGCAGCTGAATCATCACCCTCTAGGCCAGACAGCAAAGCACGCTGCCTGGCTCAAATCTGCAGGGCTGGCTGGGAGTGGCCATCTTGGGGCCATTGGTCACATCCACAGGGATGGGTCCCTGGCCGCAGGTTTGGATTATACGATCCTCCCTTTTGCCCCTGCCTAATATCATGGAAATATTGACCAAAACCTGCCAATGAACTTGTATCTCCTAGGAATTTGGGATTGAGTCCAAGAGAGAGTTTAGTTAGTATCTTGATGTGGTTAAAATGTTTATATATAAAGCCTGGAATGGAGAATTGGCCATTTGCCACCATCAGGCACTTGATCTAGGGAAAGACATACACACACACACACACACACACACACACACACACAAGTGCACACATACATTCATACAAGTGCACACACACACACACGAATACACACATGCAGAATTCAGGGACAGATGTCTCTGATCATATGTCTGATCCTTTCTGGGTCCAGGGAGCATTTCAGAGCATTTACCTACGTTTGGTAAAATACATTAAACTACATTCTCCCTTCTGGACTTTGTTGTCGTTGTTAAACTAGGTCAAGTTTATTTCTACTATTTGCCACCAAGAGCAAGGAGACGGCCTATGAAGGGCAGGGCCACACTGCGATCCATTGAAAGAATTCGATTAATCAAGGTTCTACTCCTCAGGCTTGCATTTAAATAATAATAAAGGAACTCCCATAGGCTAAGCAAAGGGATTATCATGACCTTTGCTCATCGCAGATCCTCCTCAGCGGAGGGACCTCTGCTGAGGCAGACTGACACTATTTTTTGAAGCCTCAGCAACTGCATTTACTCAGTTACTGGTTTTCACTGTGGCCTGATAAGCTCATTTCCCTCTGGGTGCAGGAAAGATCTGGAAAGCAAAATATGAAATACACCCATGCACTGTCTGCCAGGGTTAGGGCTTCCGACTAAATTAGTTCCTGTGGAAGCAGCAAGCAATGCTTCTCTCTATGCTGGAAGCTGTCTGTGACTGTCACCATAATCAATGAGAAAAGCCCAGGGTTTGGGGATTGCCCCAGAAAACCAGCCATCCATCCCCACCAGCCTCCAGGATTGGAATTCAGAAACACCCAGGAAAGTGCCCAAGATGTTGGGCTCACCAAGACGCCCGCACCGGGCCAAAGGTCATGGGGCTGAGAGGGAGGAGGCTCAGGGGTGCAGGGCCATCTTTCCTGCCTCTGAAGGACTGTCTTGAGGAAGGCGTGGGAGGGGGAGCTGGTACAGGTCGTTTACAGGTAGGATGTTTGTTAAGGAGTGCCGTCTGCACCCGCCCTGGAAAAGAGGGAGGAAGGAAGCAGGACTGGGCAGAAGGAGGAGACCAGGCCCAGTGACAGCGTCGCTGACCACAGAAAGCGTGGGCACTGGAATGGCCCTCACAGTCGTTTCCCTTTGAGCCCAGCTGACCAAGCCCTTATACCTTCCCCATTGGATGTGAGCCACCCCAAAATGCCATGACCTTGGACCTACCAGCTCTCTGCCGCTGAAGCAAACCCTGAAGGGGCTGACAGATTTGTCTGTAGACAGCATTCCCATGAGCTAGGTAAGCATATTTTTTGGCAAAGGGGCATCTGGGTGACACATCACAGTGTCCACCAAAGGTACCCCCTGCAGCATGCAGAACAGAAACCACTCAGAAGAAACTACGGGAAGCCAGATCCTAGTGCAAGTGTGCTGTGCTGGGCTGCAGCTGCTAGTCCTCTTATTATTATAATTAGTTGGGAGCCCATTAGGCTGGGACAGCTCCAACACCTCAGGTTCCTAAGCAAAGAAAAGCCCCACTCAATGAAAACAGTAAAACGAAACCTAGCTTAACCAATCGCAAACTGCCCGCTAATCTCTAGCTATCGGCTTTTCACTTTAACCAATCAAATATTTTATTTGTCTTCGTTGTGCACACACCTCATAAAGGTTTTTCCCTTGTGCGCCCTCGATGGAATCCTGAACAGCTAGCAGTCTGGCGCTGAATTGCTGAATGTTCGAGTAAACTTGTTAAAATCTTCATGTGCCTACATTTACTTTTAACATTGAACCTATGCCTGTGAAGCACCCATACACACGAATCCTTTGCCAAACACTTGATAAGCACAATTCCTGCTCAGAGTAGATAATTGAGCAGTTCAAACACAGAAGCATTGGCCACTGTGTGCCAGGCATCTAGCCCACAGAGGCATAGGAGTTCAAATTTTAAAAAATGTGTTTTTTGAGAAAGAGTCTTGCTCTTGTTGCCCAGGCTGGAGTGCAATGGCACAATCTCGGCTCACTGCAACCTCCACCTCCCAGGTTCAAGCGATTCTCCTGCCTCAGCCTCCCGAGTAGGTGGGATTACGAGCACCTGCCACCACACCCAGTTAATTTATATTTTTAATAGAGATGGGGTTTCGCCATGTTGGCCAGGCTGGTCTTGAACTCCTGACCTCGTGATCTGCCCGCCTCAGCCTCCCAAAGTGCCGGGATTCCAGGCATGAGCCACCGTGCCTGGCCTCAAATAACATTTTAACAAGTAAAACTGTCACCAAAATTGTCTAGGGAAGATTTTTTTTCAAGAAAGACATTGGTTGAGTTCAGACTCTGCTAGCTCTGTGAACTTGGTAGAGTCTCTAAGCCTCTCTGTGCCAAATCTAAAAATGGCAATCCTAATACCTACCGGTATAGGGTTGAAGTGAGATGAATACGTTAACACATAAGGCTGGCACCGTCCACAACAGAGAACAAGGACGCAGAGACTGCTAGATGTCTGACTTTCTTCCTCTGATAACCACTCAGCCACTATGGATATTGTGAAAGTGATTGTTACATCCGGAAGGGCCATAAACTGTGTTTTATGGCTTAATGAAAGCCAGATGCCAAACGGGGAGCCACAGAACCAACGTCAGTCCTGAAACCTTTGGAACATACAAGCTGCTTGGTGTCTGATGATTTCCATTACCCTTAGTCTATAGATAGAGAAGATTTAAATACATTACCTCGGTTGCTGGTTCAAATCTGGCCAAGGTCCACCTGGACTCCATCATTCTGAGTGACCCTGGTCAGACAGCATCCTTGTGAAAACAAGTAAGCAGCTACTACCAGCATCCAACACACACACACACACACACACACACACGCACACACAGACACACGCCTCACAGATAACTATCTGCAAAATGGGCAGAGGCTCAGATTAAAAGGTAAAAACCAAACTCATCTTGAGGATGAGACAGAGCCATTTGTGGCTCCAATAATTAGAAGAATTGAAGTCATCTTTGCCACCCAAGTTTGCTGAAAGTGGGAGGCAAGCAGAATATTTTTATTTCTGGTGACCTAAAAATGCTATGTTATAAACAGAACAGTTGAAAATCCCAAGGAGCCACCTGATTTTACAGCCAAGGAAACTAAAGCCCAGAGTAGGTTGGTAACTTGTTGAAGACACACAGGCCATCGGGGCTGGTTGAGGATGGGTGGGAGGCCCAGTCCACGGCACTGCCCTGCGCTTTCTCTTAATCGTGGGGCTAGGCGGCTGGGGTGTGGTTGGCAGTGCTCCTAAGCAGCGCCAGCCCTGACTCACCATCCTATGCTATTTCTGGCTTTCAAAGAGTGAAGAGAGATGGGGAAGGAGGGTCGGAGTGGGGAAGTGGCATGGAGGCTGGAGGCTGTATCGGTTTCCCAGGGCTGCCGTATTGAAGTACTACCAACTGGAGGGCTTAAACCGCAGAAATGTATTTCCCTACTGCACTGGAGGCTAGAAATCTGAAGTCAGGGTATAGGCAGGGTTGCTTGTTCCAGGCCTCTTTCCTTGGCTCATATGTGGCCATCTTCATCTTCACAGGATGTCCTTCTGTGTGTGTCTGTGTCTAAATGTCCCCCTTCTGTAAGGACACCAGGCATATTGGACGAGGGGCCACCCGACTCCAAGATGACCTCATCTCCACTTATCTGCATCAACCCTATTTCCAAATTAGGTCACATTCTGAGGTCCTGGGGATTCAGACTCCAGAGCATGAATTTGGAGCTGGAGGGACACGATTCAATCCCTAACAGAGGCCTCTCCTTTGTGAATTCGTCCAGAGAGACAAACAGACCCACAGGCTAGCGAGCCCAGACAGTTCCCATGTGTCTTTGGCAACTTGACACATGATATTACGGATCAATGAGAAAAGGAAGGTCTAGTCAATAAGCAACCCAAATAATCCAGCAATTTCACTCCCAGGCATATACACTCAGCTCTAGTTAGCAAATGTGACACTGAGCTTTGTGTGAGAATATTCACTGCAACATTGTTTATAACACCCCAAAACACTACCCATAGGAGAATGAGCATGTAGGAGGCTGTTATGGGCTGAAATAAATGTGCCCCCCAAACTTCGCATGTGGAAGCCCTAACCCAACACCCTCAGAAGGTGACTATTTGGAGATGGGGCCTTTAATGAGGTTGTTAAATTAAAATGAGGTCATCAAGGTGGGCACAGATTCAATCTGACTGGCTTCCTTATAAGAAGCCATTAGAATAGAGACATGTACAGAGGGCTGGCCATGTGAAGACAGAGGGAGAGGAACCAGCCTGCTCACACCTTGGTCCTGGGCTTCAGCCTCCGGAGCTATGAGAGAATTATTTTCTGTCGCTTAGGTCCCCAGTTTATGGTACTTTGATAAGGCATCCCTAGCAAATTATCACAGTGTTATACATAGGAAGACATGCGTAGAAAAGATAAATGCCAACTTCATGACAGAGGTTACCTCTATAAGGAAGTGAGATGAGACCAGTCTTAGAAGGCTTGGACTATATTTGCAAAATTTTAGTTTTTAACCTGAGTGGTGACTATCTGGACATTTATGTTATTCTTGCTGTTTTTTATTATAAACTGACCGTTATAGATAAGTGTGACTGCTGAGTTACCTCTCCTTTCAAGGCAGCCTGGCGTAGAGGGGCTCTAACTATACCTTACTGGGTGACTTTGGACTAGTCACTTCTCTCCTTTGGCTTCAGTTTCTCTAACAGGAAAATTTGAAGAATGAACTAATTCAATATTTCTCGAAGTGTGTATCATGGAACACTGAGAGTGTAAGATTTTTAATATATATTTTATACCCAAAAAAGTTGCCCGATAAAATAATTAATTATCAGAGTTGTAATCACATTGTTTTACTGCAGAAATCTCAGACTTTTAATGAATGTCTAACAGGAGACCGTGGTATGTATACAACAGAGTCATCCTTTCAAAGAAAAGCAATCAGTTTGTTTTTTCTGCTCATTCAAATCAAAGCTGATGGTCCTGACGGTTTTGAAAGGACATCAGTACTTTGCTGCATGGGCTACTTTATGTAAATGAATATATTTAAGAAGTGTAGGCTGGGCGCGGTGGCTCATGCCTGTAATCCCAACACTTGGGGAGGCCGAGGCAGATGGGTCGCTTAAGCTCAGGAGTTCAAGACCAGCCTGAGCAACATGGTGAAACCCTGTCTCCACCAAAAATGCAAAAATATCAGCCAGATGTGGCGTCATGCACCTGTAGTCCCAGCTACTTGGAAGGCTGAGGTGGGAGGATTGCCTGAGACCAGGAGGCGAGGTTGCAGTGACAGAGCAAGACGCCATGTCAAAAATTAAAATAAAATAAAATTTAAATTAAAAAAAAGTTTTTTTTTTTTTGTTTTTTTTGAGATGGAGTTTCGCTCTTGTTACGCAGGCTGGAGTGCAATGGCGCGATCTCGGCTCACCACAACCTCCGCCTCCTGGGTTCAGGCAATTCTCCTGCCTCAGCCTCCTGAGTAGCTGGGATTACAGGCACGTGCCACCATGCCCAGCTAATTTTTTATAGTTTTAGTAGACACGGGGTTTCGCCATGTTGACCAGGATGGTCTCGATCTCTTGACCTCGTGATCCACCCACCTCGGCCTCCCAAAGTGCTGGGATTATAGGCATGAGCCACCGCGCCCGGCCTAAAAAAAAGTTTTAATGACAAGACAAAACAAATAGCTGTTTTGTATGTGATAGACCCATGTGAGATGGGGCATTCTTTTTTTTTTTAGATAGGTTCCCTATCATCCAGACTGAAGTGCAATGGTATGATCATAGCTTCTGGAGCCTCAGCTTCCCAGCTTACACGATCTTCTCACCTCAGCCCCCCGAGTGACTGGGGCTACAGGCACACACCACCATGCCTCACTAATTTCTTTTTTTA